CCCATGCTGTGGGCTGGGGACCCAACCCAAACACAGAGTGCATATGACAAGCTAGCTCCTTCCCAACTCTCACCTAAGCAAACACAGCACATGCAGGAGAACATCACCAGAGGGAAATGTGGAAATGAGCATTTCTCAGGAAGGCCTCATGAAAGTCCCAGCAATCCAGCAGAAAGCACTAGAGCTCCCAACACCAGGGCCCGTCACATGCAGAACAGGGCTCCTCACAGGACACAGCAGGGCAAGGCTTTCTCACCACATCATCCTCAACTCCCACTTTGAAAATGTCTCTCTTCCCCTGACACCAAGTAACGGACAGCTTGTGCTTAGGGTCAAAGGAAACGTTTTTTGGACATCAAACACTAGTCCACCCATTTGCACCAGTGGGAAAATGTGATGCCAGGGGAGGGAGTCCACTGAAAATGTAGAATCCACTGGAAAACAGTTAGATATTTCTTACAGGAAAATTCTTCCTGTTCCTGCAAACTAACTTATAAATACATTTCCAAGTTAAATGCTCCTATTGCCCCACTGGCAGGAATCATGTGGCCACCTATCCTACTGAAAATGTACTTCCACTGTGGCTCAGTCACCAGATGACCCCCTTGGCAGAGCTCACTTGGAGAGAAACAGCCAACCCTCTTGTCAGGTATTGCAGCGAGGCATCCAAACCTATCTGAAAATAGAATCTCAATTAAAATATGTTTTGCTGAACACACAGTATACAGCACTTTCTTGGAAGGGAGGAAATAACAAGAATGAGATAGAGATGGTTTGTTGCGGAGAGGTATTTCCAGCACCATTGACCAAGATCAAGGTCTCAAGCCTCTGCTCCAGGATCAGAGATTCCTGATGTGTGGCAATGGGCAGAAAGAGATGCCCACCTTGTCCCCAGCAGGACCACTCCTGCAGTGCCTCATACTGCTGATTGCACAAAGTTTGTTGCCTCTACCAAGATATTTGCTGTCTATACCAAGGTCTGTTGCAAATACGTCTTCAAGAAGTTTTAATGGTTTCTTATGACAGTGGTTAGACTCCAGACATGGAATGGGATACATGGCCACATGCTTCCTGACAATGGATAAATAGTTAGCTTGCAGGAACAGGAATATTTTAGCACACGGTTTCCCTATAAGAAATACCCAACTGTTTTCCCAAGATATTTCTATAGATCACTACCTGCTCTAGCAGTTGCAAATGCAAAGTTCTGTGATGGAATAAGGCATATTTAGTATACTGCAGCATAGGTACCAATGGTGATACTTCACAAATGCCAATGGAAGTGATGGAATTTGGAGCGGCGGGGGGAAGAGGAGATCTCCCCTCTTTAAAAGGCATCTTTCCATTACAGTGTTTCTACTAATGCAGAGAGGAAGGATGTGAACACAGGAATACCTAATGATTTGGGTTTGTTTTTTCCAACGTGCGGATTTGCAAGAGAAGTCATGAGCAAATTTACTGCCTACATGTCCAATACTCCCAACAAAACCCTACAGTTTCCAGGAAGGAGCACTGTGCAGGGCAGGATAATCCAGAGCCCAGGGCTGGGCCACATGTCTGCCACGGGCTGACGTTGTGAGGATGGGAGCAGCACTGTGAGTGCAGCACTGAGTGCAGCCCCGTTGAGGCCCCCAAGCACCATCTCCCACCAATCATCCTGACCAGACTAAACAGGTGGAAGAGCAAGCCCACAAAAATGCGTTACAACAGAGAAAGTCTGTTTCCCTTTTCCAGGAAAAACTTGTGACATTGGAAATCCCAGCTCCATTTGCTAGCTCCTGGGTTCCAGGGCTTGTCCAGGGCTTGTCCTTCCAACAGAAAGGAACAAAAATCCTGTCATTGCTCTCTGCTTTGTGTCCTGCCTCCTGCAAATGTCAGCCAAGAAAAGACATCATGGCCCACAGGAATTGCACAAAGAGGATTTGGCCGTGACCCAGCGCTTAAGCCTGGTGAGTCTCCTGTCTGTCACGCTGAGAGTCTGTCACCATCCCTGGAAGGGGATGCAGTGCCAAGCAAGAGCCCAGAGAGAGCAAGTGCTCGAGCTCACAGAGAGGGGCAGAAGGAGATAAGGAAAAGCGAGAAGTTCATTTAAGAAAATGAATGGGTCAAGGTGCAGACTGCATGGGCCCCCAGAGCCGTGTGTGTGGTAACGCTCACTGCAATGTTTAACCCAGGAACTATTAAATGAACAAATACATCATGCCAATACTGCAAAGCAGGCAGTAATTGCACTGTCCTTTGGAGGAAGACATGAACACATAATGAATTCATTATAAAAAAATGAAGGGAAAGCAAGCATAGCTCTCTGAAGACGATTTGTTCTCTCTCTGATGTTGCGTTTAATAAATTGTACAGAGAGATGCTGCTGAGCCTGGATCTGGCCAGAGGTAGCTTAGAGGGCACGTGAAATTCTGGCAGGCAACAGCAAGACACAAATAACACTTCCACGACCACTCCACAGAGCTGTCAGCCAAGGCCTGCGCCTCCCTCCGTTTTCTTCTCTGCTGGATCAATAAGTAACCGAGTTTTTCCCCATCTGCCTTCTCTGTATTGCCTGACTCATCCTTGCCAAAACCTCCCCAGATCAGTCTGCCCTTAGCAGGTAGCTGATGTGGAGAAGTTCAGCCCAAGCATCCTGCTATCCTATCTGGGTGGTTTTATGCCACTCTGCTGCAGCACTGGGGAGCAGGACAGCCCCAGGTGGTCACCCACCTCTGCAGAGCCAGAGACCCTCAGCTGGGGACAGCTCTGCCCTGAAGCACAACCACATGGAACATGGGTATCTCTGTCAAGCCACCAGGACCTATCCACATTCGCCCCCAATCCATGAGAGTGTCACCTTTATACTGACCATGATGGCTTCCATCCCACACCCGAGGAGCATTGGCAGCACACAGAGCCAATGCCTGGAAGTCTCACTGAGGAGGTAGTTAATCCATGCCTAACATTGAATAACCACCACTGTGATCACACTATTAACTCTCTGCCTAATTGGAGAAAGGACTAGAGCATCCCAAAGGATGCCTGGGATCGCTCCTGCCTCCCAGCCAAGCAGAAAGAAGCCTCTCAGATACATCCGCAGCTCACTTCAGCCACAAGAGCCCTGTGGCCACACATGCTGGTACAAAATCCTATTTCTTCCCCCGTTTCCATGAGCACAAGTCATGCAGCCATTTCACAGGATGCATCTAACAAGGAAATCTGAAGTGAAAGCGTGGGACAGCCCTTCCCACAGCTGTCACACAGCATCAATCCCAAACATACCGCCAAACCACCCTGCACGCCACCGATACCAGCAGGGATGCTGCTCCCCGAGAAAGGTTCCCATCCCATATTCTGTATTGAGCCTTCAAAGCCCCAGGATGCAGCCCAAACCTCTGCCCCCCAGTGCAGAGCAGGCAGCTTGTGGCAGGACGCTGCTCAGCCTAATTATCGCTCTCAGACCTGCCTTGCAACCGTACAGGCTGCAGGGAGGAGCAGAGCGTTCGCAGCAGGGATGGACTCAGCAAAAGGCTGGCAGCCTTGGCAGGAAACTCTTTTGACCATCCTTGATTTCCCAAAGCAGCCTCCTCTCTCTCTGGTGATTCCCGACCATAAGTGCGGGCCAGGCTGAGCCTGAGCTGCCTGGGGCAAGTCTGGCACCGACTCGACTCAGGGGTCCCTGCTTCACTTCACACCTGCCTGGGGACAAGACCTTCCTGTGGGTCGACGATGCTGATATCTGCAGTTGCCATCTGAACTGCTCCCTCCTCCAGCAGCTGCCACTTCCCCAACCACCGTTGCACTCAGTAAGTTGCCAGTGTTTGGCTTGCAGGGCTCCCAGGTTCCCAGGGGGGCACAGAGAGCCTAGCAGGCTCTTCAAGAGTGCTTCTGAGGAGAAAGAGCCTATAGAGACTTGGGGGAAACAAAGGGAGTATATACCACAAAGAGGAAGAAAAAGCAGCAGCCACTTGCTCTGCAAGCTTTGCAAGCACCCTGCTTGCAAACATTACCCACCATGATGACTTGACAGACTCTTCCAGACGCGTGGCTTCACCATGGTTGGGTGGTGGGACCCATTTTTGCAAAGCCAGCCCCATTCCATTGGATTTGGACCATCTTGTGAGTTTGGGACCTCATCTTTGCAGAGGAGATGGATGTTCAATCTTGACTACAGTTACCTGTGCAAGTCCTCACCCGCCTCAGTCTCTGGTGATTGGTACCACCGGGGTGGAAGGGCCAGAGAGCAAAGACCACCACAAGCACCAGCCTCACATCAGGTTGTGACTGTGCTGGCAGTACCTCCTCTACACTGTGTCGCTCCACGGGAGCATCCCAAAATCCCAAACACTGGTAACAGCTCCCTCTGCCTCGGGTGGGCCCCGCTGGGCAGCAGCCCCAAAACAGAGCAGGCAGCTCTGTTTTGAGAGCACGAGCACCTTGAAAGGGGTAGCCGAGTCACTATCATGAGTTCCCTGGCCAAGGGTCTCACAAATGGGGGAATTAGACATCTCCACAGTCCAGTGCTAGTGCAGAGCAGTGAGAGCTTAGGCTCCTACATGAGGAGCAGTCTCAGCTCCTAGGACCTTGCCCAACTGGTAGGATCCTGTCTCAGCCTGGGAACTACAGCCCATTCCCAAGGCCGCCCTCAAGGGAATGATTTTCTGCTGCACAGTAGGAGAAAGAGCAATGCTCCCAGAAATTTTTTCAGGGCAGACTGAGAGGAGCTAAAGGACAATCACTGCTGGAACCGTGCTGGAAAGGAGAGCCCACCAATGCGTCCTGAGCGCCAAAACCACTCCCTCCTCCAGCACTTGCTGCGTGTCGGGACCACTGAGGCACACACAGGTAACCTGACATGCTGGGGAGACACCACCTTTGCTGTCCACAGCCTTTTACGAACACAGATGGGCAACTCCACATGGTTTAGCACTAAGGAAGAAGCCAAGATCACTGCAACTTCTGTTCTAACCCACCTGCCCTGTCACCCCAACACTGTGCTGCAGTGACCCCAGTCTTACCAGCTTGGTTTTGTCCATGGCAGCCAGGACAGCAGAGTTGAGGGCTTCCAGGGCAGAAAGCACGTGTCTGTATTCTCCAAGATACGCCGAGAAATAATCTGAAATGGGAGGGAAGACCCCAGTTAGCTCCCCAAGCATCACCTTCCCCTTCCAGCCATGCAAAACCCCAACATCTGCCTGCCCTTGTCCTGGGCCACCTCATGTTTTGCCCACCTGGCCTGGCCATGGCCAGGAGGGTACCAGGCTTAGCCCTCAGCCCTGCATGGCCCAGGATGCAATGCTCACGTCCCTCTCTTGGGAGCACCAAAACTGAAAGCCCTTCCTACCTCCAGGGACAAAATGTCCTGGAGAAAAGCACAAACGCCCTGTGACACCCCAGCAGGAAGGCTGGGATCCAAGTGATTGCACCAATGGTGTCACACGGGCAGAAGTCAGCCCCAACCACGCCAGCAGTGCACACCCTGCCACAGAGTCTGCTGTCTGGAGGGCAGGAGCAGCAGTCCACTTACCGCACAGTTTCTCTGTGTCCACGTTGCTGAAAAAAAAAAAAAGAAAAAGGAAAAGGAAAAGGAAAAAAAACAGACTTTGGTTAGAAGGTCAGGGTGACTTAAGAGAAGGAACAGTGTCTTCAGGGCTCGTTTCAAGTCTCAATAAGTTTGTTATTGCTCTGCTGGCATATTTTTAAGAGGTCTATTAGACTAAACAGTGTCCCTCCAAAGCCACACTCTTCCCATGCCCCAGGAGCCCCTGGATGCTGCTCCTGCCAAGTGGCCCTCTCCTGCACCCCATTTGGTCCTAAACTTTTTATGGGTTGAGCAGGGTCCTGGAGTCCTGTGGGACCTGGCTGCCAGGTCCCAGCCATCTCCAGTAGCCAGTAGCCACAGTGCAGGGTAAACTCTGGGTATTTGGGGATGCACCACTTGGGTCTGCGGTCCCTGCAAGCTTCAGTAGGACCTTCTTGGACAAGGAGGGTCCTGGCCATAAAGTGCAGAGGGAGGATGACACGGAGCCCCAAAATAGCTGCCAGCATTTGGGATGAGCATCAGACACAAACACAGCTTTCCCTGGAGCTGACAGACAAATTCAGGCAGCTCAAGTTGCTACGGCGTAGCTGCCTGGCAGGCCTGGCATTGCCAGAAGAGCCCCGAGGAAAACACCCTGGGATATAGTTTATTCAAACCAGCCTCCTTCTGAGCAATTCTGCTGTGTCAAAATGCCCTAAGTCCTGAAGCTACTTTTATTCCCAGCTGGGAAGGCAGAAAAGAGTATGAAAGAAAGAGATGTTTAATGCTTCGGTGCTGTCACATGTGGATGCGCAGGTGACACCTGGAGTGCAGGTGGCTGCAGCCCCCTGCTCGGGTGCTCACGGTGCTGCTGCTGCAGCCGCTGCTGCTCCACTCCCAAAGGCAACACAGCAGAAATGTCCTCAGGAAAATGAGCTGAGAGTGTGTCCAAACCGCCTAGAGCCAGACATAGCCCGAAGGATTTAAAGCCTTTGTACAACTTCCCACAAAGATCAACAGCTGGTTTCAGGGTTTCTGCCTTTCTACTTCTACTTCATTTTCTGTAGTAATAGGTAGAGCTTCAAATCATGAAAACATGTAAACTGCTTTGAGTGAGGACAAACCCAGGCTTCTCAATTTTGTTCTGTTGCATCTTAAATCTAAGGTTTTCCCATTCCTTATGTGGGAAACATCATCTCCTGCCACTGCTTCTACTGGGGAGAGACCTTTCCTCCCAGTCCCACAAAGCTCTGACACTGCAGCAGGTTGCACAGCGCTGCAGGGTCACACTAAGCAAAACAACCCCAACCCCTCATGGAGAAGAGCAGGCAGCCAGACTCGGGTGCAAGGCAAGCAGGCAAGTGTCCATGAACCAGGGCAGTATCCCCAGCAGCCCTGGGATGTGACATGGGCTCACGGGGCCCCAAGCACCCTGAGCAGATCAGAATGGTCCCATACTCTTCCCTCCAAAGCGCTTATCCTGAGACTCTCCTCATTTCCTCGTTGCTGAGGAAATACCTGGGCTCAAATCCCTGATTAATCATAATCATCACTGAGCTTGAACTGATGATGAAGAATGTCACCACTGCCATTAGGATTTGTCAGAACATTCCTGGAATTTATGCAAGAAAACAGCTATCAGCTTCAGCAAAGCAGATGGGAAGTTTTCTTATAATTTCTTGTTCATGTTGGAAATCTCTGATCATCACAGATCTGGATTCCAAACCTCTACAGTAAATTCTAGACAGTTTTGGTTACTTTCACGAGTTCAAAGACTAGCAGAAGCTGAGAGTTTGAGTATCTGACCAAGCAGAGGGACAGGAAAAAAATTTACACAGCTCAGTTCTTCCACTGAACCAGAAACTCCAGGTTATTTCATCTGAGAGCTTTATAAAAATACAGGGGTCAGTGCTCCTACAGAAATCTCTGCTTTATCACCCAAAGCTTCACAAGGCTCAAGATCAGACCCTGGTTCTCAGCAGCCTACCACACATCTCCTCTCACGGGGACCTGACCACTTTCTCTTGCAGAAAGGATGATTTTCTGGACCTCATTTTTAATAAATTCCCCTGGCTGCTTCCCTGATCTGCCCCTGACAGAGATATCACAGAATGCTTGATATCACAGAGATATCAAGATATCACAGAGATCACTGTGATACCACAGAGATATCACAGATACGCAAGGGCTATGGGACACTTGCATGGGTAGATCTCCTCAGCCCCCACAAAGAGCAAGAAGCACACAACGTAAAGACATTCACTCCAAAGGTCTTGAGGAATGAGCCCCCCAAGCTCCCCTTCCTCCCCCAGGTTAAGGAGAAGGATTTAGGGTGACAACAGAGCTCCTGGCACTTTTCCTGTGGCTTCTGGGGTGCCAACAGCAGGGAGGACCTGGCTCCTGCACAGAGCATGTCCTTGGCCATGTGAAGTCGCTGGAAGCACACCCTACTTCTCCCAAAGATACTTTTGCTGCAAAGGAAGCTTTTCACATCTTCCAGAAACATTTCTCTTTTCTTTCAGTGCATGAAAAGGTAATTTTGCAGGGAGACATATTGCTCACTCTGCTCCAGTGCCAGATGTGGCATTAAGCTCCCTGACAACTTAGGAAAAAAAAAAAAAAGGAACCAAGTCGTGCTAAGAAGCTACAGAGAAAAGTTCAATTCCATTTTGTCATAAAGTCTTCTTTTTAAATGTCAGATGATAAGAACAAACAGCTGTTTTCAAGATGCAATTAAGTAATTGTGATTAATGCAGAATTAAAAAAAGATAAACAGTCTTGTGGTCTTGTGAGGAAATGTGAAATCTTCAACCAAAATCATTGAAACACACTTTTTGGATTCAAAGTTTGTTTTACAGAAATGCTATGACTTGCTTTAATCATTTGCCCCATCCAGGTCATGCTGAGGACATGCTGAGACACACTGAAGGTTTTATTCCACTTGCTCTAAACTACCTGATGGAGCTGCCTGAGTGTACCCAGCACCAGCGTGAGCACCAGATAAAAAGGGAGGCGGAAGGAGGACCAGGCAGGAAGGAAGGACAGACAGAGAGGAAAAGAGAGCGCAATGCTGTGGTGCTCTGGAAGGAGAACGAATAATGTATGAGAGCTCTAAAATATTAATCCTCCCAGATGTCAGCTCAGTTCCCCAGCAGAGCAGATGTGGGCTTGGGGGATGAAAGGCAGCAAGGATATGTCCAGGCAGCACGTTGCTACCCAGAGAAGGTTACAAGCCTGGGCATAAACATCTTTACTCTCTCCTTGGGTCAAGCTGACTCTGACAAAGAAATGCAGTCCTTTCAACCCAAATCTGAGGAAGACGGCATCCTTGAGGCTAAAGCCACTTACTGGATTAGGCGTGAAAATCTCTGCCGAGGTAATACAGCCATCCAACAAGACAGAAGTTCCTATCTTGAAAAAAAAATGTGGGACATATAAGAAGAAAATCAGCTACACTGTACAGCTGACCATGCTTGTGCTAAATTCCTGTCCAAGAAGAAAAGGTGAGTGGGTTACAGCCCAAAACCCTGCACAGGAGGAGCCTGTGATTTTGAGGAACCTAACTGTTTTCCAGCATTGTGTCACTGAGTTATATGCCTCTTTTTTGCTGCTCTTATTTAAATCCATGAAGCTAGTCTGCCTATTTGGTCCCCCAGGAGAAGTCTTACCCCAGGCCCACTGCTGCTCCATCCTAAGGACCTGCATATGGACTCCACAGGGCAGAAAAGAAAATTTGCTCACTGACACCTTTTGGGCTCATTCTACAAATGTGTGGCAACTTTTTCCTTGTTTTTCTTGATTCTCCAGAGCTTATCCACTGTGATGGGCAGGAATAAGACCCCCAGGATGCCCCTGCTCCAAGCAGGCTCTCCAAGCACTATGGCAACTGGGGACAACCTTCTCATCTGAATCTCATCTCCATTCCATGTTGGTGGCAGGGCTGCTTTTCTTCACTGCTATCTTTCAGTCCCAGGTTGCGTAAAAACATATTCACTGTTTCTTTTTCTCCTGCAGACTCACCTGCCAGGACAGGACCCAACATGCAGCAGCCTTAGGAAGCCGCATACCCTGAGGGGCTGACTCCAAAGTCAAGGCCCTCTGCAGAGCTCCAGGTTTGGAGAAAGAGCTCTTCACACAAGAGGAAGTTAGATTGCTCTCATACATCTCAGGCTCCAGGCCAGGATCAGGAGTAATGCCCTCAAGATCTGGAGCAGGACAAGACTGCAACACTGACCTAGAAACAAGTGTTGGACTCAAAATTGGTGCCTCACGAGAGCCACAGCCTCCCCTTCTCCTTTGAGATGGGCATTTCCCATGGCTTCGCAGATGGATGCCAAGTAGAGCTTCACTGGCCATCACCCCAGGCTCCTGCAGATTCTGCCAGCAACGGCACTGCCATACGTTGTTTAGGCCATGGGATGCCATTTGCCTGGATGCTCAGTGCAGACCCTCACTCTGCAAGGTCGCATCTCATAGTGCTCCTGCACCAGCTGGGGACTAGGCCGAAGAGATCTCCCTTCCTCACCATGCAGCTCCCCTGCTGCCAAATCCTAAATCCTGTCCCTCTCTCTCCTGCTCAAACCAGCACACTCTGACCCATTGGATCCTTCCTCTGCTTCCTCCATCCATGGAAAACCTTGTCTAGCTGCTCCGTCATGCCCCATGGCAGCCCTGCCCTCTCCATCCCTGAAAAGCAAAGCTGAACTGTCCACATATCTTTGACTGACCCCGCACTTGTAGGTGCAAACCATGCACCAGCCACATCTAGGGACACTAAGCACACCCATGGCTGCACCATCCCACCCTCTACTGCAGAAATCAGGGCATCCTACCAGGGCTGGAGGGAAGAAGATCACATATGTTTGCTTTAAGTTACTAAATGCAGGACTTAGGAAACCAGCTGCAGAGTCTCCTCTGCTCTTCACAGCATAAAGAGATCAAAGACACAGTGGTCATGCCCTGTTAATAGATGTCACCAGCTCAATGCTGCATCTGCCACGTTGTCATAGTTACCACACTGTCATTACCACGAACGATTTATAGAGACAGCGCCGTGGCAGACAGGGCCATACACAGCCCTTGGAGGCAGTCCATTCTCCTGGGGCCATCTTCTTGCACAGAGCCTGCAGAGGTGCCCAGCTACCAGTGCAACCACCAGCCTTCAACCACCAGTGGGACAAGCAGACCTCAGTCTCTGCTGTCTGGGCTCCTCCTCTCCCTTTGACACAGTGAGTGTGGAATTGACCCAGTCCAGGTCAGCTGGGGCTCATGAGCTTCCATCTATGGCACTCGTGGCACATGCCAGCTCATGATAAATGGCCATCGTACAGCCAAGGCTGATGCACAGGGATAGCTCTTCCCATGTAGCATCATGGCACGCTGCCCCAGAGCCAAGCAGCAGAATTGCAGCTCAGCAGCACATCAAACTGCCTACAGACAACAGTGGCTTAGCCTGCAGGTTGCTTTTCTTATTTGCCATGCACCGCGGTGGTACCTGCTAAATCCCTGGGATCACAGCCCAGAAGAGAAGGTCTTTGAAGGACCCCTCCTGCTGCCCACATTCTACATGCCAAACCATGTACACATTCTCTAGATAGCACCAGTCTAGAGAAGACCAGAGCTAGGTGCAATTACTGCTCTCGTTGTTCAAGAGTTTCTTTTTTTAAAAGTAGCTGGCCTATATTCACTTTTACACTGACACTCATAAAGTCCATTTCTGGTGGAACAGCCCTTATGTAAGTGCAAAGCAGTCAGCAAGGTCAGCAGTTGCAAAGATAACTGTCTGTTCCTTGCCTTCACAGCACCACATGCTCCTCCCGCATATACAGAACCTTTTCTATAGAGCTGCATATTTCTGGAATTAAGTTTTGTGAACCAACAGAATGCAATTTTAAATGGATGTTTGCTTACGTGGTACTAAAGTAAATCTGATAATGACTGTTCTCAAAATGCCTGGCTTCTCTCATCACCCATACTCGTAGCAGGTGCTCAATGGACTTTAACATCTGCAGCTTGCAAGAGGTGCATTTATCTCATCCGGATTATTTATTGCATCCGCCTCCACATGCCCTCCATCTGCAGTCAAACACTTTTACACCCTCTTTTGTCTTCTCTCCTCCGTGCCACCACGGTACGTACTCTGAATGACGCCTGTCAATGCCACTGAACAACTCCCACAGCTCCTCCGAGCTCAGGACTCCATCAGAAAAGTAGTTCTTGAACTCCTCAAATGACAGCTTCCCATCATCTGTATTGAAATAAAAGGGAAGAATAATTATATGTCTGCGAAGAGAAGTCTACAGGCTGCAGTTATCCTCCATGCAACCCCTTCGCTTGGAGAGTGGAACTGCTGGGCGCTTGCTGCATATTAATCACAGCAGAGACTTCAGCACATCCCAACACACTGAGTGTCACTGGCAAAAAGGAAAAGGATCACTGGCAAACAAGGCCAGTGTTGCTGGAATTCCAGGTAGGAATTTCAGCTAGCCCCAACCCTTCCCAAAGATCTTGCTGAAATGATTATCAGACACGTGTTTGACATGATGTCCTATAGACTTTTCAAGCTGCATTTCTATTTGGCTCACCACAGAATAAAGTCTATTACAAATAGCACATTGAAGATGTCACTTTTTTTTCCCCCCTTTTGTGGAGAATTTTAACTCCTGAGATGCATCCCCAGCCAAGAGGAACAGCTCAAAGAAGGGACTTGTGATTTTGGATTTCTTGGTGCCAAATGTAAAAGCTGTTAGCAGAGTTTGTCTCCCAAATTTCCTGGATGCTCCACAGGGCACCCATTGCTGGTGCATCCCACTTCCCCAGTCCCAACCAAACTTTATTTCTGCTCCAGCACCACAGGGGAGCACTCACCATTCTTGTCGGCTCGACGGAAAATCTGCAAGGGAAAAAACACAACAGGCTTTAGAGACACAGCAGGGAGAGCAGCACTGCTGGCTGCAAGGTAGGTTTGGAAACCTCTTCACAGCCCCAGCAGCTGTGCAAAAGCTAAGGCCAGGGTAGTGGGGCAGTGAGGGACAAAATCAGGTGAGTTTGCTAGAAGAAGAATTCCCTTTGCAAATAATCAAAAGCACTTCTCTCCTCTGATTCACAAAGCCAGGATGTTGCCAGCCTCGCATCTGCACAGAGCATCTTCTGGAGAGCATAAGGTGGGGATGAGTTAGGAAGAGCATTACCGTGCTTTTGCGACAGCCTTGTGAGGGAAAGTGTTTAATTTTTCAGACCTTTAAATGAAAGTGCATTAAGCATAAAAACACTCTGTAATGGAAGCACTTTGTGTCTCATCTCTGACATGCCAACCATCTGCACCAAAGAGCCGCTTTCGTCTGGCACTTTGCAATCACCTTTTGCAACACTTCTTCCTGGGAAGCGTGCACACACGCAGTCCTCTCAAGGCTGTGCACACACACAGCCTTCCTCAAGTGCAATTAATAACGGAGTCTGCCGAGGACTTTCTGATGAAACATTAGCTGTTTTCAAGCAGTAACTTTGCAGAAACGCACTGGTGTGTGAGCACACTGCCACCAAGAAAGGCTCTCCCCACCCCAGGGCAGACTTTCTCCCTGCTTCATGGGAGCACTTCAACAGCTCACAAATAGCCCCTGGGTCAGGGTCCCAACCCGCCTTCCCAACCGTGAGATCCAGCAGAAAACTGGGGCTTCCTCTCCCTGTCTTTCTCCCTTTTTAGGCATAAGCATCTGTGGTTGAGCAGAGGCGCAACCAGGTTTCCAGCAGCTCATCCTAACACAGCTGGCAACAAAATCTTGCACATAGCAGGAATTTCTCTTTTTCATTTCTTTTGGGTCTGATAAAAGACGATTCATGAAATAGAGCACCACGAGGGGAAACCTGACTTCATTACATCCTTTCCCAAGAAGCTGCAAAGGAGAAGGAGCTGATAAAACTCCCCCAGCCGAGCTCTGCCCTTGCCATGCAAGGACGCACCACCGCCAACCACCCGCTGGCCCCGGCTCTGCTCCCATGCTGCTTGTCAAGAGCATTGCTGCGCTTCTGCCAACCACCACAGTCTGGAATACAGGTTCCTACAAATGCCACCTTCTACTCATTTGCTGCTTGCAGGCAAAACAAGCTGGAGCAGCTGCCTGGAGAAATGCCTGCTGCTCATTCCCGAAGAAGCTGCTGCTTTGCAAGTGGACAAGGGGTTTATCCCATGCTGACCCCAGCATGATGCTCGTTGGTCCTTTCCCATGGCAGATCTGCAGGAGTAGGGATGTCCTGCCCCGAGGATGCTGTTCGGAGCAGGGCTCCGGGCAAACCCTGCTCCAGCTGCGGCAGGGGATGGAGCCTGCCCTGAGCTGAGCAGCGTTAGGTAACAGGTCCGAAGGGAGATGGACTTTTGCCCGGGCATGGCTGCTGATCTTGCATGAAAATATACCAGGGCACTCTTCGAGCATCCATTAGGACTCACTGGATGCACTTTGGAGCTTTATAGCTACCAACTAAGTACAGAAACCTGCAGTTTTCACCCGCTAGGGATTTTCCTGACTTTTAAAGCAAAACGTTCCCTGGGCAAAAAGGTCTGCTTGTGCATCTGTTTTCATTCTGGTTCTCAGAGTGCCAAGGGCTGTAGAGGCTGTGCAGGGACACAGTGGCTATTCCTGTCCAAAGTGGCATAGCCCTGGGAGCACCAGTGGGTGCTGCCTGGCTGTGATGGCCCTGCCACCTCTCTGCCTCGAACACGGCTCCCAGGACCTGTCAGATTTCCTCTGCTCGGGACACAATTTCCTTGCTCTGCAGTTTAACCTGGGCTCCCACAGCATCCTCAGGCACTTGGAGACAAAGGTGACACTTTGGGAACACTAGCAGCAACCGGTTTTCGCCCAGATGCAGGAGCCAGGGAGAGGAGAATCTCCAGCAGCAGGCAAGCTGCAAAAAGCCCATCCATGGGAAAGGCCAGGTCTGCAGAGCCTCTGGGCACATGGCAAGGACTCGCAGCTCGGGCAATGGGATTCCTGCCACCATGCTTCCCACCTAACTGCCACTGAGGCTGGCTATCTCCCCACACCCCTTGTGCGCTGCCCAGAGTCACCCCAGCACTTACCAAGCACAGATTCAAGTGACCCCAAACATTTCCCATTCCCAGAAGGATGAGGGGAGCAGATTAGGACCAGCAGGAAGGAGCACATGATGAGACACAGCATTTGGAGGATTCTGCCCAGTAGAGCCAGAGAATCCCCTATCTTCTCTAGGTGACCAGGTGCAGAAAAATCCCATCCCAGAGGATGACTTGGATCTGAAGGTGTCAGAGGCTGCCTGAGCCCTGTCTGCCTCTTGCCCAAAGAGCTGCTCCCACAGCACGTGTCCCCCTGCAAGGCTGCCCAGAACATAGCAAGGTGGTTTCCCAGGGCTTACTGCCTCCTGTGATGGATATGTGATGGGAATTGCATTCAGCAAACAAAGCTCTCCATAGGCAACACCTCTGCTGAGGTGGGACAGAAACACCCGGCCCCTACTCCTGCCCACCCAGAAGGGTGGTGGGAATAAAACAGAACTAGCGTGGCAGGAAGACAGTGGAGGGACCACGATGTGCTCAGCACTCAAAGCCTCACAAATAGAGGTGCAGTTTTGCATGTTTGGCACTTTCGCACCCCTCCCATGAGGTCAGGAAGGCTGGAGCTCCCAAATCTGGCCTCCGTGTAAACCCCAGCACACGGAGCTAATGCTTCTGCCTCGCGCGCAGGAGCCTCCGCTCCAGCAGCAAGAAAAAAAAAGCAAGAAAATCCAGAGCTGCAGATGTGAGGGAAGAATCTCACAGAGGATGGAGACCCTTGCAGGGAAAATGATAGTAAGAGCTACCCTGTGGTTCACCCAGCACCTGCATCCAAGTAGTACTGAGGAAATCCTCCTCCACTACCCATGGGCAACTTGACATGGCAAACAGACCAGGAAAGATAAGCCAGCCCATCCCTGGCCTGTCTTGGGGACCCTGTCTTGGGAAGGGTTTGCCCTCCCTACCAGCACTCCAGGAGGCAAAGGGATCCCCTGTACCCCGTCCTGACGAGGGGGGACATAGCCCTGCTTGAACCCCTATGGGTCCAACCTCCTGCCCCCACCACAACAGCGGGGTTGAGCCTCTGGAAGCTTGATCTGTGAGAAAGAAAGTAGCTCCTGCAGGCAAACCCCATGAAGCGAGCTGGAAGCCAGCCAGTTCCTGAGAGTCATAGGACAAAACATTAAAATCACTTTGCCAAGATACTGGAAGCATTTTGCCAAGCCCTGGAGCTGACCTGGGAGCAAGAGGACCCAGGGGAGGGAGGCAGGGAAGCTGAGAGCACCCGGGGAGCAGCTGGTACACACAGAGCATCGCTGGTAGCACCGTTAACACTTTACATTTTAATTGCGCTAATGCTACTCAGAAGGGTGAATCTGGGGCAAAGCGAGCGCCCACAAGAATGGAGCTGAGATACAGCTGTCACTAACGAACTCCTCCTCCAGCCCATGTTCCTTCAGCCAAATAATTAGTGCAGTTAACGGTGCTGGCAGGAGAGCCCGACTGTCTGAAACACTTCCATGGGGCCGGGGGGGAGAAGTCACCCTGCTCACTTCAGCGGCAAGAACCCCCTCAAAGGGAGGGGGGCTGAGCCTTCCTACTATTCCTTGGGAAAACACGGCCCACCCGAGGAGTCCTCAGGAGCTCAGACAGCCTCGTCCTGCTGAGAGCTGCAGGAACTCCTGCTGGAGTCGAGAAGATTTTTAATGAGTATCACTGGACTGCAGCACTGCTGGCACGGAGGTGATGCCCAATACCACCCTCAGCTGCCCAGGAGCAGGGGGGACAAACTGACCCGACCCACCAGCCCTCACTCGTGTTCTCCTCCCCTGCTCTGAGACAGGGCACCTCCTCACACATCTCCATCACAGCCATCAGGGGAGGGGATCCTGAGCTGTAGGACCACGGCCAGCAGCAGCGAGGTTGGAGGAAGAACATCTCTGATTTCTGATTCTATGATTTCTCCCTCTGCAGCAGTCTCCCATGGAAAATGCCCAGTGCTGGGATCTGCCCACAACAGTCATCTCTGTTTCCACCCTAGCAAGAAAATTCAATGATGCTTTAAAGCAGAAAAGCAGAAAAGCTGCAGAAGCAGCTGCCTTGGCCTCTTCCTGACTGCAGGTGCTCAGATGTACAAGCTGGGCACCGGCTCCTAAGGCAAGAAGGCTTCCTCACACACGAGCAGTTGTGTTTGGCCCAGAGAAGCGCCAAAGTTTCACTCCAACAATATGGATATGCCTGCCCATTGTTCCCTGCAAAACGTGGAATGCAGGCTAAGCCCTGAGCTCTGCCATCTGCCCTAAGAGCCATGTGGAAGTAATGGGCACCCACCTGCACTGCTGGAACTACCGGGCGCCCTGCTAGACCTGTGGGGCTGCATCCAAGATGCAGGAGATGGCACCTGCAGAGAGAGGCACTGCCCCCTTGGGAGCCCCACAGGGCTCCATCTCGCTAGGGGCACCCTCGCTGCAGGCTCGAGGGAACAGCGCATGCCAGGACCTGCCTAATGACAGGCATTGGCTGTGCTGTCAATTCCTGCGAGCCACCCACAGCTCCCAGGGTCTCCGACCGCCCTCCCAGCCTGAGCCAGCAGCATCCCCCTTTCTGAGCTCCCAGGACACTGAGCCCTCCGTGGGCCGAGGACTTGGCAGGCAAGGGGCATATTCTGCCTGCCAGACCTGCATCACTGGAGGCGCTGCAAGACATCTTTTATAGATTTCCAGGGAGCCTCATGTTAGACACGAAGCTTCTGCGCCAGCAGTCACGACAGTCAGCTTCAGTAAAACACAGGGGGGCAGGTGTCAGGGGAGGAGTATTTCTAGCCTCCCAGAGGAGGCAAACTGAGAGCACAACATATATATATATAT